CCATAATTCCGCGACAATCGAAGGGGCGGAGATTCAATACTCTTGTGCCTTTTTCATTGGCGCACCCTCTCCAGTTAAGGAGAAACGCACTGAGAGGAAAGTACGATGGCTTTGAGCTTGGGCCCACCCGGTTATTGCGGTATACACCCTTTGGTATCGAGTTTCCAAGGTAGCCTGGGTTTTTTTGCGGATCTTCCAGAATCACGATACGGTGCCATCCTCCCCCCCCCAGTAGCGTTTTTGTTTATTTCCTCTCTATAGAAGTTCAGAGTTGATGTTGATTTTCCATAGTTTCTGACACTACCGCGAACTTCATTCTAGTTGCTGCCGATCATTTTCGTGTCGGCGTCTTTAATCGGTCCGGTGCTACACCGTAATAAAATGACCGCCACGATGCCGTTTTCTGTGCTGGGCGGTCATGGTAATGACGTCATCTCGAATGGGTACAGTATACAACGAACACAACGAGACTTCAACTACAGTAATCCAGCATTCACTGCATTGAATTTTCTTGACACATCCACCTATGCAGTGCTGTTGAGAACAACGTAAGTCATCTGTCTTAGAACATGTCTGGGAATACAGTGCTCTTGGCTCTTTTCCAGGGTAGCACGAGATACGATCCTACGTAAAGATGCCGTGCTAGCATATTCAGCCTTGAAAAAGCGGCTCGATAATTTTCCAATCGGGAATCGTGAGGTGATTTTATTGATTTGCTTGCTACTTCCACTTATTCGCTGACTGTTCTCTGGAAAATCTTACTCATTTAGTTCTTGGAGGCGTGCCCAGCGGAATGTGAAGCGGAAAGGGAGATGGTTGACAAGATTGTTAAGAAAAGTCCTCAGGTGAGTTGGTTCTACTCAGTGGATATTTCATTATGAGAACCATGTCCCATTTTGCCGGCTTTTTTCGAAGGAGGGTGAATTGAATGCGTTCTGATAGAGCTCTAGGATTGATCGGTCTCTCCGGGCCACGCCACACATTCTACTTCAGTGAGGAATCGTTTTGTTGTTTGCATGCGTTTTTGCCGTAACAATGACTTGGGAGGTGGCGGGGGGGGGGCATCCTGTGAACATACATATTTGTATTTGTCCATGCAGACGAGTCTTACCAATCACCCAGTCAACGCAGAAGAATTCGAGGTTTATTGTCCCAAGGTGGGACACAGCTTCACAAGAGTTTACAGGTCTTATCAAAAGAGACCTGTTAGTTATCATGATCTAGGAAGAAATTAAGCAAAGGTCCAACATGCCCTCCCAAGCCGAACAGCGCACTGGGCGGGATTCGATTTAGGATTAGACCCAGGGATAGTGTGCGCGATAAGTACCTCTACTTTCCACTTAACCCTCTTATCTCTAGTGTTCTGTGGAACGGCAGGAATATCGGCTAACGATTGGTGATCAGCCCCTTGAATTTCTTCTTTTCCCCTTGAATTTCTTCTTTTCTACATTTCTCTACAAAAATGTTTGTGTTGTTTGATTGTGGATGTTCAGGTCGCGCTCACATTCCCGGAAACGTTTGTCAGCATGGGTAAGGACTCGACAAATCTTAGCCGAGTATACCTTGGAGGAGCTATCGGAGGTCAGTTCAATTTATTTTTTTCTCACAGTTTTTTTGCGGGCCGGATTCGGAGAAAATCAGAATACGGGAAAGAATAATGGTGTAGTTGTGGGGTAGGTGAGGTTGGTTTAGCTTAAACATTAGTGGATTTTGAAGGATCATTCCACTTACCACTAACCTAACCTTCACTTATTAATTACTATTACTTACCGGCTTTGCTTGCGGGGTATGTCATTATCAGAGTATTCATTTCCAAGGTATCTCATGATTAGAGTAAAACGCTTTCAAAACTCGGAGGGGGCATCTAAAGCATTCCTCGTGTGAAACTGGGACAAACTTTATCCGAATAGAAGTGTCGTACTTGAGAATACCCATCCTGAAGTTTCTTCCCCTGGTGGCTGAATCGCCTTCACTTGCTCATTGGGTGGCAGATTATTGACGAGTCTTTATGTACTTGTGTGGAAACTCGTAAGTATTGAGATCTTAGAAATTTCGCAGCTTTACTATAGCCTTGCGTCGCGAGAAACTATGCTGCAGAAATGGATGAGTTTTATTGTTTGCCGGCCATGTCCAGTCAGACATGTTGCTGACACATAAGATTCAGAGATTGTGGGCACAGTTTGGCGAATGAGCGCGGGGGGAAGGCATTTGACTTGAGCTGCTTCACTGTGTTCAGGTTTAACAGTCTCACTCTGTGAAATTGTTGAACTTTTTGGTGAGATGGGCAGGTCCCACGGTAAAACCTGTCAACTCTCGTAGCTCGTGACGGCTTTGGATGGCGAACGTCGATGGAAGAAGCAAGAGTTGCAAAATGTCTCTCGCATCCCCCCGTCGCGAATTGTTCGATAGGCTTACAGAAATCCCTTTTTGGAGATTGAAGTCTCGCGGAGACGAAAACGCTAACACTTCATTTTGGAAATAAAGAACTCGGTAAGTGATCAACTGCAGTTGTTAAAACTTCGGTGTAGATTATCACGATATATCAGTGATCGGTATTGACATTAGCTTTACTTGACTAGGGCAGTCTCAGCAAAGCTTACTGGATAATTAAAGACAACCATTTCAGGTGTGGAAACCGATTCGGATGGTGGCCATCTCTCGGGCCCAATCTCTGATGTTGACATTCAAGTTGAAGGAAAGTGTGACGGCTGAACAAAATGTCGCATGGGCAGAGAATTTTGCGGAGCAGGTCAGTTCTTAATTTGGCACGGTGATTGGGTAATACTCTTTGTCAAGGTTTCAGCGCAAGTGTCTATGTTTCCGTCATGTCCGTGGTTCAGGTTCACACTACATCAGCACCAAACGTTTCTCTGTCATACTGGTCCCCGTCATCGTTCTCATCGTGGGTGATTCGCTCGTTATCCAAAGGCTACAGATGGTTATTCGTTTCTGTCGGAATACTATCGTTGTTCTGCTTCCTGGCCTCATTCGGCGCCAATGCCTATCAGGTATCCTTGAGTGTTTGAAATTTTTTATCAAGGCTAATATAAACGAAGAAATTATTTAACTGATTAGAATCAGATGATTGGTTTCCTTGTAAGGAAGGTAAGGTTTTTGGAGCAGAGGTGGGGTTTTGTTTCTGCGGTGGTTAATTTTAGACTATTCAACACTACAGTATTTCGAAGTTAGAGAGGGTATAGAGTTGAGGGCGCTGATATCCTTGGAAGATGTCCGCGAAGGACCCTTTGTGCGGTACTAGGAATACAATATCTACAATAGATTTGATACCTTAATCCGAATAGAGTTGCCGTACTCGAGAACAGGGCACATCATTGTTATGAATTCCAGAATAGGAGGTGGGAGTCTAATTCGGTCGCTGGAGGGGTCGTATTTGGGTTAAGAAAAAATTTTCCGATTGTTGAGTCCTTTCACAAACGTTGTGAGGGGAGGGGGACGTAGTCGCTCACTGCTGGGAGGGGGAGAGGGTGGTATTTCCCTTCTGACCATCTGAGAGAGGTTGTTGACTTTTCGTGGTTTTTCTTGTTTCGTGTGTATTATACCCCCCTCCCTGGACAGCTCGATAGGAGGGAACCATGGGGTCACACGGACTCAAAATTCCCGGCCAATGAAGTGCCCTGCTCGAGAATGTTTCCATCACTCTGGAGTTCTTC